CTACTTTCTTCTCGCGAGTGAGACCCTCTTCACGGATCCGGAGACGAACAAGCAACTGTTCTAAAGTCATTTCTTTCCGTTTGAGCTTGAGATAGCTTCGGAACTCATCCCAAGCTGGCGGGAGCACATGAATAATCGCCGCCACTTGGAATGCCTCACTGACTCCCATTCCCTCGTCAGTGCACTCATTAAAAATGAGAATCAATTCTTCAGCTTGACTGACCACGGGTTTGGAATCCACCATCCTAAAATCCAAGACTTTACCGACAACGAATTTCTTTGCACCGGCGTCTTCGGCCTGGTATTTGTTGGACAGTGTAGTCCACAACTCCTTTGCGGATGCAGCCCTGCTATAAACAGCATATAAGGCATCGCTCAAGCAATTCAGGATAAGGTTAAGGCACGTATAGTTATTCGCTATCCATGCCTCTTTAGCCTGAACTGTTGGCTCATCCGCGTTCTCCCCCACAACAGGGGGATCCTCCCTCAAGTACCTCGCAAGGTTGAGGGTGGTCAGCCAAAACAACATCCTTTGCTGCCATATTTTAAAACCAACACCTGTGAACTTTACCGGTTCTTTGACAGAGTTCGCAGGCAGCATGACAGTAGGATGTCCGACCGGTGCAGATGTGAAGACACCCGTGTTCGGTCCAAGTGAGGGAATGACCGGTATGGCCGAAGCCATATTCGGTCCGAATGGGGTGACCATTGTGGCCGTGGCCGCGGTTGGTCCAATAACCGCGGTTGGTCGCGCTCGATCCAACGAATGTGGTGATCGGAGTGGACCCCACGGCCGCACTCGATCCGAAAGGAAAGTTGATCGGAGTGGTCTGCCCTACAGAGCCACCCAATCCAGCCGAAACGTTCACAACCGGAGTCTCGGAACTACTCCCGTTTCCGGTGTGAGCGTCAAAACCGAATCCGTCCATACCCGCCATTGCGCACGGATATAACTACTACCTTAAGATTGTTACAATTTATGTACGGATTACAACGGACGGGGAAGATGAACGGCCCCGGTAATAAAAATAAATAAAATTCTGAATTTATAATTTATTCAGAATATTACAAAATAAATAAAGTTGAGAAAAATTGCTATATCTTCAAACGGCCTTGTTGTATGAGGACATTAAGGACTGGACAGTGAGGACGTTAAGCACTGGACAGCGAGGTCTTTAAGCACTGGACAGCAAGCAAAGGACGTTATGCACAGGGCTGCGAGGACATTATGCACTGGGCTGCGAGGACATTATGCACTAGGACAGAATGCAGCGAGGTCTTTAAGCACTGAACCTGCAAAAACACAACACCGTGGAAGGATAGCGGAGTCGCCGGAGCTGTCCTTAAGGTAGTAGTGCCCGCCTACCGTACCGGAAAACGTGGGCACNTGTACGAGGGCATTAAGGACTGGACTGCGAGGACGTTAAGCACTGGACAGCGAGGTCTTTAAGCACTGGACAGCGAGGTATTTAAGCACTGGACAGTGAGGTCTTTAAACACTAGACAGCGATTCAAGGACGTTATGCACAGGGCTGCGAGGACATTATGCACTGGGCTGCGAGGACATTATGCACTAGGACAGAATGCAGCGAGGTCTTTATGAACTGAACCTGCAAAACACAACACCGTGGAAGGACAGCGGAGTCGCCGGAGCTGTCCTTAAGGTAGTAGTGCCCGCCTACCGTACCGGAAAACGTGGGCACTCTCCTCCCAAGGATAAAACTGCTATCGTGTGTGGAGATTGTACGGACCAACCACACACTAACGAACAAGAACAACGTAGGAACGTTGACGACCAAAAACTATAAAGGGGATGGCCGGAAAAATTGGCCGGAAAATCAAGAGCTCTCTCTAAAGAAAATAATAAAGTGTTTTCTCTTTTTTTTTTCCTCTCTTCCTCACGGAAGGCACACAAGAAAATGGAGAGGAGCTCTTTGATTTATAACTAAGGTGTTTAAAATGTGTAACTCCTACACCATTAAACCCTCAAAATTAATCATGGCATTAGTGGTGTGTTAATGGTGATTAATTAGCCATTAACACGTCCGTTACGCTACGCTCCGTTTAAAATTTGTCCCGAATAATTGGAGATTAATGGCCAGTTAACTCCGTAAAAATGGACTAATTTTAAACAATACGTAAAATTAATAAAAGAAGATTGGTTCAGTAAAATTGCAATCCTCACTATATTCTTTTATTAACGGGTTAACTCTGAGAATCAATTTCTCATTCACCCTCTACCATTTTTGGCGTATAAATTGTCAAAACATTTATCTCATTTAAGAGAACACACGTCCATTAATAAACGGTTAAAACCGTTAGTGGACCTATTGACAAATATACCCAAATTGGTCCATTTAATGCCAACTAAAATGCCAAAAATTCCAACAATCCCCCACATGAATGAAAAATTGATTTGGGGTCGACAACATCCCATGATTGGAAACCTGCAAAGAACAGGTAAGTGTCTCCACTTTTGAACCTGTCCCTTGTAAAGTATACCTTCTTTACTGGCTGTTCAGTAGAACGCGATGTCTTTGAACTGTACTGCCGCTTGTGTAAACGAT